ACACATGATGAGACCTTAAGAGGAGCTGAATGCTTTATGTTATGTCATGTTTCATGTTCTATTTGTTCTATGGTTATCTTCAAATTACTGTTTACATTAGTAGAAACGTATGTTTTTCTGTGTTCTTTGTTATTTTAGATTAACAATGGATATTTTCTCTATTAATGTATTGATCTATGAGCCATAACAATGAAATAATAAATTCATTTTCTTACTGAGGAAACCTGAGGAAGGCTTCATTTCTACTCTATTATGAAACTTGTATGTTTTAAATGATTCTGAAATTAGTTGTGATGGAGGCTGTCTACAATGTAGATTACTTTATTAAATGCAATGAAAACTACTTAGTGAGACAAACATGAAGGATGCACTCATCTGTAAATAAAATAAAGTTGCTGTAAGTCACAATATGAGCAACACAGGAACATTACAAGTGCCTTTAGGAATAAGAGTGATGCAGAGGCAGATTAAAGAAATCTGCCAGTATGATGGTCAGTAGAGGGTTGAGGATCACACACAGGCTAGGTCTATCCAGAATTATTGCTCCATTTTTTTAACATTGTGTCCGTACAGCACATTTAGACCGGGTACTAGGGCTTTAAATGGTTCCTTGAACCCTCGGGCACCCAGTTAATAAACACCCACGTCAGCACAGTGCTCCAGTCGCTCTAACCGGGTTTCGGTCTTTAGGGCTGAGCAGGAAGTGCCTGACTGTGGACCCTGGACGAGAAAAAAAATCAAAGAAAAAAGGCAACAGAAATTAAAAATGGATATGGTGGCGGACTTGGGGGCGAATAGACTGTATCGGGCGCCGGGTGAATCAAGTCACCAGTGAGTATCGATGGATTTTGTCAGGGTTATCACGACGTGGGGCGTAAGCGGGTCCTGCCGACACCTCACGCCTGGGGAAGAGTCGTTGGGTTTGGGCAGCAGGCAAATCCTCCCCGCTGCTCGCTGCGCTCCGGACCTCCGGCGAGAAGTGGGGGCGGTCTTGAGGATGAAAACGGGCGTATTAGCGCGTCTTCTCACCGGTGTGATACACTGTGTGAACATATTTATCCAGCAGCTCGCAGCATGCTCAGTTGCTTGAGGTTTGTTTCTATATTTCTATTGTGTGCTGGCTGGAGCCAGAAGTGGGCGTCGCTCCAGGACAGACTGGGCTGCTCTGGTGCGCCGCTGCCCGCTTTTTCCTCGCAGGACTGCAGCACTCTCGTGTCGTTTTGTAGGTCGATTGGTGTCTGAATTAACGAGGAATAGCTTGGGGAAGATATTTGACTTTGTGTCGTGTGACATGAGGTGCACTGTAGTCTTGCGGGCGGGCGTTGCACTGTGGGTTATCGGGCGCTGTGGAGCCTGTCAGCAAGCATCGCATAATTAAAAATGAATGCGTGTAATTCTACATGAGGGTGGCTAAATAGGTTAGGCTACTATGGAATAGTAATAAGTATTCTGCAAATGAGGTTGCGGCGGTTTTTTTGTCTTTGGATGGTGTGTCCCGCTACAGTGTTGTCATTTGTCTTTCCATCAATCTGATGTGTTTTGTAACACCAGAGATTTCATGCGTGCTTTAGCTTCCCTCAGTGATGATTACAGGGTTTTGTCACCCGATGCTCTCTGACTTGGAATCGGGTGTAGCCCATTAGAAGAAGATTTTGATTGAAGGTCCATGCAGCCAATCACAGCGCAGAATGAAGCCGGGAGGGCGGGCCGTCTGCGGAGCTGGAGATCCAGTGCAGAAACAAAGACGGGGGATAATTGACAGCTACATCAATTGGGTGTCACGGTTAGTTATGTGACCTGCTGTTAATATTTTGGGTATGTAGCATGACCATTTACCAAGATAAGCTGACAATCATAAGGTCAGATGTCCCATGTATGTTTCCTTCCTTAATAGCCTATGTAGAATTCAAATTTGACATGTAGGCTTTGCATTTAGGCGCAAACATATTACAGATTCTCAGATAGTTAATTCAGGATTGTGGATATGGAAGTATCATTGTTATTTTCTTGCTGTCATATTGTCTCCTGCAGGCAGCCTCAGAGGTGGTTCAACACCGCTGACATCACAGTGGCTCACCAAAGCAACCTGCTGAAGCACCTCAACCAGCAGCGCTGCCAGGAGCTTTTCTGTGACTGCAGCGTGCTGGTGGAGGGCCAGCTCTTCAGGGCCCACCGCAACGTCTTGTTTGCCAGCAGCGGCTACTTCCGCATGCTGCTGTCCCAGGGGCCTGACGGGCTGTCCGACTCGGTCCACGCCACTTTTGATGTCTTCAGCCCGGAGACCTTCACTGTCATCCTGGATTTCATCTACTCTGGCCAGCTGGACCTCTCCAGTCACAATGTGATTGAGGTGATGTCTGCGGCCAGCTACCTGCAGATGAACAACGTCATCAACTACTGCAAGAACTTCATCAAATCGTCCTTGGACATCAGTGTGAAAGATGAAGACAGTGACCGCTGCCTCAGCTTGTCTGAGACGTGCAGTTTCACCAGTGGAGCAGGAGAAGAAACCTCAGAGCAGCAGCAGCAAGACCCCTGCTCTGTCAGCCCACCACCGGCGCTCTGGACACGGGACAACTCGAGATCCCAATCTGGTTTTATGGGGAAGGACTCAGACCAGGAGGCATCGGCCTTAGCCCTGAAGACTAACCCAAGTAGCCCTGCAGATGAGCTCAGTGCAGAGGCAGAGGACCTGCAGGACCCTCAGGACCCTCTGTACACCTTGCCTGGATCAGAGCGCCGGCGAGGTAAAGGGGGAACCAAAAGGAGAGCACCCAACAGCACTCGCTCCAACCAGCATGAAGACTTGGACATCCACGAGGCAAGGACAAAAAAGGCTGAAAAGGCAGAGGAGCTGTACGCTACTCTACCCCCTATTGTGGGTGTTATTGGACACTTTAATAAAGGTGAGTTGGAATGCATGTGAGAAAATGGAAAATCAATGGTTGTTTTACCTTTTTAGAGAAGCGAGAAAAGGAATAACATACTTTGTCATAAGTAGATTGGCATGAGATTAACCCTCAAAGGAAGCCAGAAATAGTGATGCCCAGGGAATAAACAGAAAAACCAAAGCTCTGAACAGTTTCTCTTCCTCTTTGCAGACTCCAACCCCATTATGCGCTTCAAATGCCCGTTTTGTACACATACGGTGAAGAGGAAAGCAGACCTGAAGCGTCACTTGCGCTGTCACACAGGGGAGAGGCCATACCCCTGTCAGGCCTGCAATAAACGCTTTACTCGCCTGGAGCATCTTCGTAGCCATTTTGAGACGGTAGGTTTATTTGTAACCAGGCAGTGAAATCTAAACTGATATCAAGTCATTCATTGTTAATTTAACAGCTTCTGAAACATAGAAATAGTGATAAACTGTAAGCTCCAGGCTGAGCCACAACCACCTACCCATACCGATACAGCTACAAGTACGCTGTCAGTGACACATTAACATTTACAGTGTTTGCATTTCTTTCTGATGATCTTTCTTGTTCCTCCACAGATCCATCAAGCCAGGAAGCTGGTATGCAGGAAGTGCAAATGTCAGGTGACAGAGGAGACCGGGCATGTGGTGTGCGAGGGCACGCGACGCTACCGCATGTGCACAGCATGCATCCAGGAAGTGGGTTGTGATGACATCCCCATGGACAGTCTAGAGGGGACCAATGAGGAGCCGGCCCTGTTATTGGGGGTGGATGGGGAAGAGGAAGGGGACACCAAGAGGAGCTGGATGGTAACAGATGACGACGACCTGGCTGAAGACTCGGGGGCCGACCTCATCATCCACCAAGTGGACGACAGTGACGAGGAGCTGCAGTGAAGTGGAACCAAATAAGTGTGTGTGTGTGTGTGTGTGTGTGTGTGTGTGTGTGTGTGTGGAAGCATGCACGCACAAATACTGACTGTGTATGTGTGCTAAAGCCATGCAAGAGAATTTATGCATAAAATATGCGACCCACTAATGTAAATACAGACATTTATGATACATTACTTGTCTATTAGTTCAATGCAACTGGTTAATCTTTACTTTCAATGAGATTGTTGACCTTTGTGACAAAATGGAATGTTTTTTGTTAAGCTTCATAAAAATATGCAGTATCCAAAGCATGCATATTTAGTGTTTCCTTTTCTTCAATTATAGTTATATGATATTTTTTTCACATGCATGGAAGAACAGCCTTTGCTACTTTTCGTGACTCTGCTTTGATGAAAGCTGACATTTGAACAAAACAAAGTGACAAGGACATACTGCTATTTCCCTACTCCCTGTAGGAAGAGTCAAGAGCAGACTTTTTTTGTCTCACAGTTGCAGTGCTTTCTATGATTATGTTTGATTATGATATGCGCAATGATATGAAGCCAATTATAATTTATTCGTTGTTGTTTGTTTTTTACTTTTTGACACATTAAAGATATTTTTATATATTCCCGTGTCTGTGTCTTTTCACCCCATTCAGTGTAAATTAAATGTATAATCAAATCTTATAAAAGGAAATTATATTATTGACAACAACATTAAAGGAGAAAATAATCAAATACATCAACACAATAAAATGAAGGCTGATACTGTGTTGTCAAAATGCAATTACATTTAATTGTGTATATTCTTTTTGTTTTGAGACTTCATCAAATATGTAAAGTCTTTAAGGAAAACAATAACATGGAAAAATTCTAATAAAAATCAAACAATTGCAATAAAATTAATTGTGATGTGTTTGCATTCAAAAATACAGTGTGACATCTTTAAAAGACAGCTTTAAATTGTATTTATACTGTTGAAGTGCAAAAGAGATGAGTGATACAGAGGTTCATTTCTACAGTGAGTACAAATTGTTTGGGCATTTGATATGTATTTGTCGAGCATTATTGGGTATACATAAGTTATATGGTAATAATGGGAGCGTAATTCCAATCAGTACCTTGTATTTAATGGATTCCAAAATTATGTTTCTATTAAAATTCCCGGCCCATAGATGGCGCCATTGCGGTGCTTTTATAACCTGTGGGTCGCCGACTCGAGGAAGGAGTGACGTCAGAGCGGAGGCTGGACCATTATGGCGGCCGTCATGAGGCTTGTAAACAGAAGTAATATAAGTTCAGCGATGGGTCGGCAATATCTGGCGTTGAGCTCCTCAGCAAAGGTAAAAGCATTAAGTTGTGTTGTGCTTTTGTCTTCCATCACGTCGTACTGTGCACGTTTAGTTAGCAGCCCGGACAGCAGGGCATGTCAGCTAGCTGTCCTCTACGGTTAAATGCTAACGTTAACGTTAGATATGTTTGGTAATGTAAACCTAGGCAGTAGTTAATAATTTGACTTAGTTGACTAACAGTTACGTAACAGGCTTAATAGGTAAACTATTTAAGTATAAGTAAAGCTCCTTGACACCTGTATTAAATGTGTGTATGTGTTTGTGTAGGCTGGCGTAAGAGCAGGTCAAGCTCTTCCAGAAAAAGTGAAAATAGTGGAGGTGGGACCCAGAGATGGGCTTCAGAATGAAAAGGTAACGTTATGTAAAGAAAATAAAGAGAATAGTTAATTGAATTACACAGCAGTTTTACAACGAGTAAGTGCCTCAGTCTGCCGTTGACACTGCTCAGGACTGACTGTTTTTAACCATCAGTGTTGTATAGACCGAGCAGGTGCATGGCTCGTGTGTTGTGTAACCAGGTGAAACAATCTGTCATTTCTGTCAGTGTTTTATCAAGTGCTCCTCATCTTGTTGCTTTGCTGCTTCCACCTTCAGACTATCGTACCAACAGAGACAAAAATTTATTTGATTGACATGTTGTCAGCATCAGGGCTCCCAGTCATTGAGGCCACCAGCTTTGTATCTCCAAAATGGGTTCCACAGGTGAGTTCGCTCCCCCATCCCCCCTTTCATATGGAAAGTGCTGACACACCCCACCAAGGGCAGTACAGATACTGGAATGTATAGGAATGGAAGTGGCTTGTTTTTTCCACCACTAATTGGTTTCTGCCGTCCTTTTGTCCAGATGGCAGACCAGGTAGAGGTGATGAAGGGGATCTGTAGAAAACCTGGAGTGTCTTACCCAGTCCTCACCCCCAACCTCAAGGGTTTCCAGGCTGCTGTGAGTGTCAAACATCCTGTTCCAACACACTACTAACGACCTGTACACACTTTGTATCCAGGTTCTTATACTGTATGGGAGGTGTCTAAAAGTTTAACCAAAATGCCCTTTCCTTACTACAGGTGAAGGCAGGAGCTTCAGAGGTAGCCATATTTGGTGCTGCATCTGAGCTGTTCAGTAAGAAGAACATAAACTGCTCAGTGGACGAGAGTTTACAGCGCTTTGACGAGGTTATGAAAGCAGCTAAAGAGGCTGGTGTGCCAGTTAGAGGGTAGTATTACTGGCTTGCTCTTGACTGTCAACAAACTTGTAAATCATTGGAATTATAGGGTTCAGTGTTATTCATCTGTGTTTCTTGTCACCACAGTTACGTGTCATGTGTTCTTGGATGTCCTTACGAAGGCAAGGTGGCTCCTGAAAAAGTTGCACACGTGAGTTCTCACTTGATACTTGCTTACGTTACGTAAACTGACAGAAATCTATTTATCAAATACAAAAAAAAAACAAACGCAACATGAGCACTGTCACTCATGCAACCACTCAACCTTTGTCTCTGTCTGGCAGGTGGCTAAGCGTCTGTACTCCATGGGCTGCTATGAGATCTCTCTTGGTGACACTATTGGAGTGGGGACTCCAGGTACCATGAGTGAAATGCTGGAGGTGGTGAGCAGAGACGTGCCAGTGAATGTCTTGGCAGTGCACTGTCACGATACCTACGGCCAGGCCCTGGCTAACATCCTTGTGGCCTTACAGGTCAGACTTGGTTCTGGTTCTTTTAATGCCATCTGAAAATGTCTTTGTATAATGCAGATACAATGTCCATGCAGGTGATCTGTTGTTAGTGCTGTGGTAACTCTGTTGGTTTCAAGCTAAAGATTTACTTTTGTTTTGCAGATGGGAATCAGTGTGATAGACTCGTCGGTAGCTGGACTAGGCGGCTGTCCCTATGCCCAGGGGGCTTCTGGGAATGTTGCTACTGAAGATGTTGTCTATATGCTGCATGGACTTGGGATTCAAACTGTAAGAAGTCACGCTTTGTCTCTTTGCAGTATGTTACAGTCCACCCTATCATAATTTAATATTTAGTTTACAATTAGTTTTTGTGTACGATGTGAGCTTGACTTTCTGTCCTCATCTCAGGGAGTGGACCTCTCAAAGCTGATGGATGCTGGAGCTTTCATCTGCCGAACCCTCAACAGAAAGACAAACTCCAAAGTGGCGCAGGCCACCTGCAAACTGTAAACTGCTTACTGACTTTCACAGACTACACTGTAGCATACCATGTAACCTGTAGCCGTCATCTTCTGGATGTTCTTCCCATTTTAATTTGTTTGATTTGTCCTTCACCAGTTTGAGAATATTACTTTAATATTTGGATGGTGCTGAACCCTCCCTCTTTTTAGGATAAAATGTTTGATTAGATACATGATAGCATAGCTGGAACAGTGCCTTATGTAAAGTCAGTCTAATCATACAGATCTACCTATCAAAAGCCATTCCTTCACCTGATTGTTTAATAGTGCTGACATGATTGTCTTGGGAGCGGGTAAGTGAAGAACAGGATTTGTTTCTAATAATATTTGAACTAGTAAAAAATGTCCTAGGGATGGATAAACTTACTGTAGATATCAGAAAAGACAGACGTGTTGTTTTGACTTCTATCATCCTCCTATATGCAGCGATTACTGTCTTCAAATGAAGTATCTGCTATATAGGGAGCATCTATGGAAACTGTCGTTATGAACTTGGGCATTGTTCTGGCTTGAGAAAAATGTGCTGGATCCCACTGATTTTTAACACTGATTATTTTTTAATATGTAGGGTTTTAGTTTTACTTCAATATGTGTAAGTATTTATTTATTTTCCAATGCCTTTATTGATTTCAACATGTCCAGATGCAACCAGATTGTGAGTTTTAAAAATAAACACTATTTCACTAACGAGATGTCACTGATCTAAAATGTACAGCTTTGCCATAATCTACAGGCTCTGAAACATAGTTTTTCGAAATGTAAATGACTGAACGGTGTATACAGAAACTTATGTCAACCTTGGTTGTCATTTCTGACCATTTTACAGTCCATATCAGTTCTCAAATGTAGCATCAAAAAATGGATTTGAAGCCATCCTTGCCCATATAAGGCACCTAGGTACAGTCTCCATAGTGGTTTGGATTGTTTGTTTTGTGGAAACTATTCAGAATGTACAAAGAGTTTTCTTTTCCACACCTTGAAATAACCTGACTGGCAAGTCTGTTACGCAGAATGAGATTTGTATTGCAGGCCCCTGCAACACTTAGAAATGTACTTCATATTTATCAGAGACAGGAAAATAGCAAGTCAGGCTGACTCACGCAAATTCAAACAGGTAAATGGTAATGTCATGCAAGCCTAGTGAATGTTGGAGTAACAAACGTATTTATGGGTCAGCCGCAATGGAAAAATTCAGCTCCTTAATAATAATGATCTGACCATCATGGGATAAAAAATGTGTTTCTACTGTCTTTGTGTTTAGAAAGTGGGTGTTTGTCCCACTTGTGTTTTCAATTATTTGCTCAAATCCTATAAATCTGAAAATAATTTCCAAATGGAAACATCATAAAAATAATCTATAATTTTAAAAAAAGGTATCAAGAAGCAGCCCTTACTGTTAAAACACCAAACATGAATACAATCAATAAATGTCATACATTTACCTTTATTTAATAAAAATTACATTAAGAATTGAGTGCAGAAAAATACATTTCAACCTGATGTCCACAGTGGATGAAAAGTATATAACAGTTCAATGAGCCATCTGTCCAACCTTCCTCCCACCTCCCCCACTGTACCCCAGCTTAAAACACAGAATTAAACGGCAGCATTCCTTACACCATATTTAAATCAACAGTGGTCTTGGATGAGGCGAGTTTGTGTACATGCACGTCAAAACATTGGCAGTCTATGTACAAAATGCGGCTGTGCAGCATAAACCTGAGTCCAAGCATATGCCCGCCAAGGCTTTACAAATACAATACAAAAATACCAGTGATCAATGCATTTTGTTGCTGTAATAAATGTTAACAGAGGAAATAAATGCTGTAAAAAAAATTTCAGCCGATTTGCACACCTTCAAGTAATACTCATCCATGACTTTGGAGTGCCCACACTCTTAAGGCAGAATTGTTTACCATTCTTCACTGTGTTTTGGGGTCATTGATTGTGAAGACAAAGCTATGATATCAGTTCAGTTAAATAAAAGAGATCAGTGAAATGTCCATCTAACACTTGCCCAGAAACATAACTGTAGACACTTGCAGGGGTGAATACCTCTGGCAGGTATGTCCTGCCTTCTTGTGTGCAGTGTTTCATCTCCTAACCTTGTTGCGTCAGAATTCGCGTCACAGGAAAGACAGGAACCTCACTGGAATGTTCTAATATAGGTGAAAGTGTGAAGTTTAAAATGCTTCAAGACTTTTATTGTATTCAAGAATAAAAAAGAAACCCACATGTCATTAACAAATCTATCTGGCTCTAGCTAACTTGTAAATATTGTGGATGTTGGCTTGGAAACCAAAGTTCATTCACACAAAAAGAGTCTTAGATGTGGACTTGGGCCCACAGGAAGAATCCAGTACTGATGACTCAACTTCCTGACACATCTTGTTGTTTGGCTAACAGTTCTTCGTCTGTTTTCTGGGGTTTGTCTATGGGTTCTAGCACAAACACGGCTGATCTCTTGATCGCTTTCAATCACAAATTAGTGGACAGATTAGGAGCAGAGGCCCGTATCTTTTCGTGAACTTTCATCCCAGGTGGCCCGAGCGAAGCCTTGTACTCAGTCTTGAAGGACAGATGCTTTTCCTTCATGTCTGAACTCGACAAACTCATCTTGCAGTTGTTAAAGGGGTCGTCGCTGTAGCCGTCATGGTGCACAGCCACGTTGTGATGGCGCCTCTTCATCTTGTTTGCGCATCGTACAAAGCGTTTGGCGATGAGATAAATGATCTCGCAGATGTTCAGGATGATGCAGAGGGCCGAAGCTCCGACCATGAAGTAGGTGAAGACCTTCTTCTCAGTGGGGTGGCCGATGTAGCAGTCCACCGTGTTGGGGCAAGGCGACACCTCACACTTGACTAGTCTTGGCAGGTAGAAGCTGTCGTAGATGTGGTGGAGGATGTAGAGGAAGGAGATCTCGATGCCCGTCTTTACGAAGAGGCTGATCAGATAGGTCCACCACAAGCCGCCGTGTTTCCTGCCCGTGTTGTTGTACAGCTTGCAGTCCTTGCCATGCTTGGCCTTGTACTTGCGCTCACGGTCTTCACGGTACGCCACGTGCATGACCACCATTAAGGAAGGGCAGGTGACAAAGATGAGCTGCAGGGCCCACAGGCGGATGTGGGAGATGGGGAAGAAGTGGTCATAGCAGACGTTGGCACAGCCGGGCTGCTTGGTGTTGCAGTCAAAGTCCTTCTGCTCGTCGGACCACACTCGCTCCGCTGCCACCACGTACACCATCACCCTGAACACAAACACCACAGACAGCCATACCCTCCCAAAAGCCGTGGAGTATTTGTTCACCCCACTGAGGAGGGCCTGGAAGGTCTTCCAGTCCATGTCCTTGGCCGGCAGTCAAATCTCTCTTCTCTGGAATTCTTCTCTTGCTGGTAGTAGTTTATCTTCAAAACCTGGATGGGACAGAATGAAGAACTGGTGAACATGTTTTCATTGTCTGCTGAATGTTCTGCTTTCACTCTGTTAGTGGTGTCTCACTTACTCCAGGGTGCTTTAAAAACAAATAAACTTTTATTCTGACTATTGAAAGCAGCCTTCCAAAGCTGGTGTAATGTAAAAACATCTCCCACAGGCCACCTTTAGCAAACCAGACACTAACATTAACACACTGTTATGAGTAGGCCTTGCGACAAACTGTTCATGAAAGAAACAGGTTGGACCGAAGTTACTGACACATCCCGAGTTTATACATAGACTATTTTAAATAGCAGTATGCCTACTCGCAACGTCAATACAAATATCTATTTGAAGCCTATATAATTTTTTGTTTCTTTAACAAAAACTAAACACAGCCCTTTACGCACAGGCTGTATGCGTTATTTGGACATATTTTCGTGATGGGTTTGGCTATTTCCCAACATGCGGCCCTTCTACCACCAGTTTTCATAAAACGACTGCCGTATGAGAGACTATGAATCAACACATTTGTAAACACTAATATCCAAACGGCAAACCTTGACGAAGCTTAACTCGTGTTAGACACATGAACCGTTAATTATAGGGAGTTTTTCACTTACCAAAAGACGCTTTACTCCATTATAAGTTGAAAGGCACGTGCTTACGTATATTCCCAGTGGATTTCTTGTCACTTTAATATCGTTTAAGTCCTTTATTTGGTCCTTCCTCGACAGGTAGAGAAGCGCAGTGTTGAGAAATGCGCCTGTGGGTGTGGTTACAGAAGAAAGGCTAGAGCTGCCACAGATGTTCCTCTCTCTCCAGCCTCCCCCCTCTCTATCTCGCTGCCTCTCTCTCTTAGGTGGCAATTCAAATATTTTTACATGATGGTTATCACAGAAACCGTTCCAGGTACTTTGAATAGGATTTGGAGATGGGCCAGTGCATGAAGAATCAAGTTTGGAACCAGATTACCAATCACAGCCTTGGTGATTTGATTCCACACATGGTTCAGGTCTGTAAGGGTCTGCAGCAAACTCAATGACAGTTTAGTTTTATTTTATTATTTATTTTACAATGAATGGGAGAATTTATGAATGTTTAACATGCCCCTACACACACCAGGGACAGTTACAGAACTCAAGTTACAGTATATTTGACAGCGTTGGTCTTCTCAGACAGGGCTAAAGGGTGTTTATCACCTTCTAGAAAAAACAGATTCAAGTGCATTGTTTTATGTTTCCAAGAACAGGAATGTTTCCCTGTTCCAACATGTTCTGTACTTTGCACAGCGAGCAAGAGGCAGACGCACCCTAAGGTGAATGCCTTTTTACTTGTTGTGCATGTCCTCAGCCTCTTTTTGTTGCACGTTTCCTAAAGTGTGACAAGCGTCATCATTTCTGGGGTGTTGAAAAAGGTGAGGTGGCTGGGAGAGAGGACATCAGAGTGGTCTGAGGTCAGTTCATGTGTGAGTGAGTCAGTTAATTTGTTGTCATGTAACCAGAAAAAACATATTCATTTTTCCTGTTCCTTTTTAATTTGTTTGTTGCACAACTCTTTTTTTCATACATGTTCATGCAACCCTCTCACAAGTCTCCCAAAGGTGTATTGTATTTCCTTTATTCTTTTTAAAACCAGGCTGTACTCAGATAACACTGTCACACAGTGGCTTTTGTCCCCACTCTGCCATCCACTTAACTTCCACATCTAAACTTCTTTTTCTTACGCTTTACAGAATTTTGAATCAAACTAGGTGAAACAGCCCATCATTAGCAGTGTTTACAGATAAGTTTGAGTCCAGTGCATGCAGAGCTATTGAATCCTGTGTTTACATTATATAAAAGGATCATCAAGACATGCTCATATATCACTTGTCAAGTAAGGTTTTTTGTATTGCTCAGTACAATCACATACAGAGTCTCAATGGGTTTGTTCAAGGCTCACAACAAGTTACCAAGCCCAACATTGTAAAATCAGGAAGTGATCTCTAAAAACCTTGATTAACACAATTCAGGCTATACCTGTAATTCACACACAAGCTGTCTTAAACTTAAATAACCTTATAATCAAGCTGAATTGCTGATTTGTTTTTTACTTCTTTAAAATCCTGGAAACAATGAGATATGAAACTTAGATGTGGACAGCAATTCAGTCGTAATCTATTTATTAAACATGCCTTTCACGCCAGATGAGGAACTGGTCTTGTCAGGACAGACCTAGACAAATGCATTCCGTGACTAAACCTCTGCAAGCAGACAGGACGAAACAAGACGGACCAACATAACAGGATGAACACATCACTTCTCGCCTCTGGTAATGTGAAAGGAAGGAAATGTACCCAAACAGAGAAAGTGAGGACATGAAGAGAAATAGAAGATTTGGGAGGGTCTTGTAATGGGAGTGATTGTCGGCTCATTTACAGAACCATGCAGTCAGGAACAAACACACACAACAGCACCTAATGAAGCTTGCTTATCTATTCAGAGCCAGAAGTTATTCCACTTTATAATATTTGATATTAGACTTTAGAGCTTAGATCCTGTTTGGACAACATTCCATCCCCACTGTGTGCTTCTGGATATGCGGGGGTTGACAATCAAGTTCTTCGATCTTGAACCACACACACAAAAAACATGTTGTCCCACCTTCACCTTGTGGTATCTCACAGTTCAGGTATTTTTGCTTCTATCTCCTGAGGATTGAGATATTCATCTGTGACGTTTCTGCTGCCACCCCAACTTGTGTTTCAGGAAACAGGGCCTTAGTTACTGTGAGAATCCACAGATCTCACTTGTTAATAGATATCAGAACTACGGTCTTCTGAAATAGACATTCATGGTCCCAATGAATTCTGTGAACAGTGGTGTCTGCAGATTATCCTTTCATTGTTTGTGCAAAGACACTTTGCTTCGTTTGAGTTTTTAAAATGCCATTCATTATTGCTCTGAGCAGCACAAACTATGTGTTCTCCGTAGTGTTGTGCTGGCAGCCCAAGTTTCAGAGGCAGATATTTCAAAACCTCAGCAGAGGAAACAGAAAATATTAGCACTGCTCAATACCACAAAGAGAAAGTCTCTTTTCACTCCTGCTACATCTCTCCTGTCGAACAGTGCAGTGTAAATACTGGAATCACCCATTTCCTGTGCAAATTCCTGCACTAGGTGGTGTCCACACACGTTGGCAAAGATGAATCAAACTAAGGAGTGGGAGACTCCTCCTCTGTTCTTCTCAAAGTACCAACCAAGCTAAACAATGAGGGGGCTGCTCATAGCAACAAAACAATCTGTGCGCCAATGGGGAGGGAGGGCTGTTTGAAACATGGAAAAAAAGAAAGGAAGTCTGAGATCTTCGTCAAAATCAACAAATCATTTGGCTGCTATATATTGTTTTTTACTATGTTAAGGATCTTTTCCATATTGTGTAACTGTTCCAGTACTTTGCTGAATTTAACACAGTATGCACTAGTGTCTTGTCTTTCTTAATCTCATGGGGGGGAAAAAATCACATTTCCAATACATGAAAAGCATTATCTTTAATGAAAAATAACATATCAACATAATAATATCAACAACAGCAATTGCAGCTCTACTGCACCTCAACAGTTAAATATGCACATCCATTATATCATTAACATCTGTCTTCATGACTTTGTTGCTCTCTTCTGCATGTATACAGGGAGCAGTTAAAAATGGTCCAGAACAGTGTACTTACATGAACAACACAATCTTTCAAATGTTAACATAACGGATGTTAGAACAGCATTCACAAAGAGTCAGATATGAGCATGCGAGTGAAGGGAGAAGACGCAGCAGTCTGAACTGAACATTTGGAGGTTGGGCACTGAGCAGAGGAAAATCTTACACAGAAAACCACATCTTTGTAAACCCACACTCTCCAACACCACATGGATTGACTCATGTAATTGGTATGGAGGCTATATCTGACTCTGCATCACACAAACTTGCTTTTTTTTTTTTATTCTTAAGCACTATAGACTTTCATCTGTAAAAAAAAAAAAGCTCTGTACTCACAAACCCACAATAGTGAGCACATTGATCAATGACACATACTGAATGTCTTGTAGTCCAGAATTTCTACTTCTATGACAAACAGTAAGTAACTCCATTGTAGTTCAGTCTCTGAGCAGACAAATGTCTGCTGAAAAGTCTTGTAAGGAGGTACTTGTAGAGTAAGAAGAAGCACATTTTCCTTTCCCATTTCCGTTTTTGGTCTGTTCCCTTTTATTCTCAGTATCTCAAGATACGGTGACTCTGTATGAAGGAGCCGGTGTTTTAGGGATGATTTTGCTGTTCAGCTTTAGACTGTTGGCCTCCATCAAGTGGCCTCCGCTGGACAGCGTGTGGGTCATGACGTGGCGAGAGTGATGGACCATGGTGAAACATTCACAGCAGCGTTTCCCAACCAAGTAGAGGATTTCAAAAATAGAAAGAAGGATGCAGACCAGACTGGTGACCACCATGAAGAGGGTGAAGATCCGTTTCTCAGTGGGGCGAGAGATGAAGCAGTCAACCGTGTTGGGACAGGGACTCTGCTCACACTTGATGAGCGAGGGGAAGTCGTAACCCTCGTAGATGCGATAGACGAGGTAGACGAAGGTGGCGTCCACAAGAATTTTGAAGACCAACGTGAGGACGTAGGTCCACCACAGGCCTCCGCGCTTCTTGCCCGTGTCCTTGTAGAGACTGCGGCAGTTGTCACCATACTTGAGGCGGTTTTTGCGTTCCCTGTCCTCCCTGTAGGCAACGTGCATCACCACCAAGAGAGAGGGGCAGGTGACGAAGATGAGCTGCAGGGCCCACAGCCGGATGTGGGAGACAGGGAAGAAGTGGTCATAGCAGACATTGTGGCACCCGGGCTGAGCAGTGTTGCACTGGAAGTCTTTCTGTTCATCGCCCCATACCTTTTCTGCTGCCACCACAAACACCATGACCCTGAAGAGGAAAACAACAGAGAGCCACACTCGGCCGAAGGCTGTGGAGTACTTGTTCACCCCACTGAGGAGGCCCTGGAGGAATGCCCAGTTCATGATGAAGTTTGTTCAGTGTGTCCTCTCTTCCTGCTGATGGAAGACAGAAGAAGCGCTTTGCAACAGCACAGACAAAGCACAGGTATCTACTAGCCTAAGACAAGAAGAAAACACAGTCAGATCACAGAAACAGGCTCAAACAATTGAACAAACTGAGGTGGAACTGGGTCATCAACATTATTCATTGTTACAACATATCTTAAAATGAATTAAAGAAATAAGAGCAAAATGAGCAGATAAAAGTGGCTCCAAACCTTACATAAGAGACTTTGTTATGCAAGCAGAAAAGTTTCCTACATTCCTACTGAGATAGTCAGACAACTTACTCAAATCAGCGATTCGCCTCTCAAAGACCGTGGTAAACTTCTTCAGCTTTGTACATTCCTGCTGCGTAAATGCGCGTGTCCAAAATACCGACGTCTAAAACCTGCTAACCCGGGTATATCCCGAAAAGTTCGCCATACTATCTGGTTCAGCACATACAAATTTCAGTATTTACAGTCTAAACGATGTTGTTGCGGTCCAGTGTCGCAGCGGTGGAACAGGCTTTGTATGAGCCTCCCCGATGAGAGCATTTCAGGACGGGACGGGAGTGAAGGGGGTGGAGCTGTTCGCCTGCCATGTCTTCACCAATCAACCTGCTCAGGTGTGGCAAGCTGCACTCCACGAAATACTTGTTTGTCAAATTAAGTGAGGAAAAGGGTCGATTTAAATTTAAGTTAGATTTTAAGTTTTGTTACCACTCGTAGAAACGATGGACCACGTGGTCAAACTGGCTCCCTGCACGTGATTTACATGAAACAGATATAGAATAATATAGAGATAAAATATGTTAGTATGCATGATTTGTATACAGTGTGCTAAACTGAAACCCACTCAGATTTCAACTATTTCTTTAAAAGTAAATACTGACAACATTTACTAGATTAAAGAAAAAAAGTTAAAATCTTAAATAATTAAGAAAGTATGTGCTATATAAATAGGTAGTTATACAAGTACAGAAGGGATAAGCCAATAATCAGCAGATCAATGGGACATTTTATTTATACAAAGTAATAGACATCAAACTGTGGTTTCTTTTTCTTTATAAAAAAAAACAGTGATTATTGAAATATTTACATGGCAGGCCACTTGGGAGTACAAAGTACAAAAGACAATGAACACACTCAAGCTCTCAGACATACACTGCCTCCAGAGACACAAACAAGCAAGCGCACACTTCTTGGTTCACACATATTCCCCACAGTCAGAGATGATGACTTTCTGCTTCGGCTTGCCCTCTTTTGTTCCCTGCGCCTGCAGAAAGACAGATTTAAAAAGATTATCAATTACTTGTCAAAATGCAGTATCTTTACTAAATCCAGCCTGATTGTCTTAACATCGTACAACTTTAACTTACAATATGACAAACTATTATCAATAGAACTTAAAGGGATAGATCAGGTTTTTAAAGTAGGCTGTATGACGTACTTATCCACAGTCCCACAGTCAGTGTATGATCTGCGATGGTGCGTCCCCAGTTTGGAGAAGCAGATAGGACTACTGGCACAGAAGCTAAGCAATGTACAGCTGTGGATTGGGTCAGCAGCAAACCGTATAGCCACCTAAAAAAAGGCCCACCTTAAAAACTCCCTACCAGTTTAAATTTACGCTATATTTCTTTTGAAACTACACTATACTGCATGTAAACTATAAACAAAAGGACTGGGATATCCCATGCCTAAAACTTTTGGTAGGGGCTGTTTTTTCATGGTGTGTTCTTTGTTAAGGGAAATCTTAATGCTACAGCATATCATTTTAAACGGTAGTTCTGCCAACAGTGTGTTTTTCCTGTTACAATATGACAGTGCCCCCTTGAACAAAGCCAGCTAAAAAGATAAAAGGAGATTAAATAAAAAGGGAAAAGGCTAGGTTTTTTTTTTCCAAATCATATTCTGCTATTATACTAAAAAGTCTCACTGCATTCTTCGTTTTCATGACAAACTCATTATGAAATACACAAAACGTAAGTTTCACTTAGGTAATTTTTCACAACTTTGATTTGTGAATATAAAATTTCCCAAAAATAACAATGTTATTAACCACAAAATGTCTTCGTTGTTGTCCATGACACAACCATAGATGATGTCCTTAAGAGAAAAGTTCATGAGATGAAAAACTTTTGGGTAAAGCCAATCATGTATATCAAGCCATAACGCTTCAGAATACATACAATGGAAAACTAAATGATCAGTAGTTTCATTGTCATCACAAATTACACAATTATTGGTTTCTATACCAAAACGCTGTCATACCAAGTCGCTGGATGGATACACAGCATTTAGGATTTTAAAATGGATTTCTTTGGCTTTGGGAAGTATAGAGAATTTGAAATATTTGGTTCATAACGAGTGAATAGTACATTTCGAGAATAGTTCGGAAATTGAGTTTCTAAAGGATATTGTAGGGTATGAGATGTTATCAATCAAATTCCTAATTGGTTTGTTTGGGATTTTTACCTTATTAAAATCCACACCTCCAACTAAAAGTAGAGGAAGACAAGGGGTAACAGGAGTAGAATTCATTAACATACCCTTAATTAAACACATAAAAGAGTTGGGTCGTGTCTTCGGCAGAAGTTCTCATATGATATGAGACAGCCGTCACTGTCTACCAAATGGATCCCAGACCAAATACCTTTATCCATCCAGTCCTTGTTCAACAGCAATTTGTTGTTAACTGTAATATATCTATCATTCCATATTGGGGTGTTATGCGGGGTGAAATTATGATTATATAAGAGTTACAAAAGAACCTGCTGGTGAAAAAAGGGATAATTTAATTGGAATTCTTTGAATAGTGAAATCACCTTTAAGTAAGAATTCTATTCCTCTTTATTTCTTGAATATTTCTCTGGGGATATGATATGTTGTTCACCAGATTGAGAATCACTGATGATTTTAATGTAGATTTGTTTTTAATCTGTTCAATCAATGTTCAATAAAGATATTGGTCTAAGATTATCTATTATTTCAGGGTCCTTACCAGGCTTAGGGATTAAAGTAATTATACCTAAATAAATACTTAATTGCCTCTTTTAACATAAGAAAAAAAAATGGATCTTTGTGGATGTGCACAGCTGTAGGGGTGAGCCGGTTGACATGCATATAATCACTGACTTAAGTTTGGGTACATACCCCTGTGATGGTTAGGGTAAGGGTAAGGGGCTTTGGAAAGCTGTGAACCCCTTTTATACTAACGGCATCTCATACAGACGCGCCCGGAGACGTCTCATACACATGCCGAAGGGTACCTCTTGCATCAAATAACGCTTTGTCAGCCTTTCTGAAAGCGTCAGTATTTGATGCCCTGATATGAAAACAGACACGAGTAATTATGAACAGGCACATTTGTGGTAACCTTCTTTGACAGACAGGACCACTTTTACGCATGATAGGGATCCAGTAGGTAGCACGGATTTGGTACCTACAGCTGTAACTTTTGAAATGGCCCCCGGAACAGCTTTGACCACGTAAACAGAAAACAACTCCTGTTGCATACGAGTCAATGGAGCGCCGGCAAGAAAAAGAAAACATTTCACAGTCTAAGTAAACCTTTTCATCCCATACCTCCATTGCACGGAGCACATCCATCCCCTCCACTAGCTCTCCAAACACCACATGTTTGCCATCCAGCCAGTCTGTTTTGTCAGTGGTGATGAAGAACTGAGAGCCATTGGTGTTTGGCCCAGAGTTGGCCATGGAGAGTTGCCCTGTTGATTGACATGAGAGACAAGGTTTGTCCAATTATCCACATGATGGGCTAGTAAAACTAAAACATGAAGCTACAAGACCTCTTTTTTATAAAACTCCTCACCTGGAGCAGTGTGCTTGAGGACAAAGTTTTCATCATCAAACTTCCGGCCATAGATTGACTTGCCGCCGGTGCCATTGTGGTTGGTGAAATCACCTCCTTGGCACATAAACTGAGGGATGATTCGATGAATGCTGCTGCCCTTATACCCAAACCCCTTCTCATGCGTGCACAAGCAGCGGAAATTCTCTAGATAAGATGTAAAAAAATATATTATAATAATAATAAAAAAATGTCACTGATTTTTGTTTTGCTTTTCATTAAAAGGTTGACATAATTACACTCTTGTGGTTTTGTTTTAGCACTTTTTCAATTCTTTACACAAGCAAGCTTAACATTGTGCAGCTACACACCTGCTGTCATGGGAACAATGTCAGCCCGAAGGAGGAAGCGTAGTCTCCCTGCTGGTTTGTTTCCAATCTTGATGTCCATGTAGACCTGAGGATTTACTCTGCCCTTTTTAGCCGGGGGCTCACCCTGCAAACACAAATCATACTTATGTCGCTACTGTGACATAAAGAGACAGCGTCACCAACGCACGTAAGAGAGACAGCCATCTCACCTCCTGTGTTGCAGTGCTGGTTGTTTCTCCGCCTGCAGCCTCCCCCTCAGCCTCCTCCGTGGTCTTCCCTGAGAACTTCTTCAGCCAGTCATCATCTGACCACACTGAAGGTAAAGCAGAGTTAAAATTAGAACCAAGGATTTAAAGTACTGTCCAGGCAAAGGCCTCTATAAACAGGTATTTTATCAATTACCTGGTCGAGAAGACCCTTCTTTGATTCTCATGGGCTTGGCCGTGTTGACCCGCACAGTCCGGCCAAAAAGCTCAGACTCATTCTAGCAGAGAAAGACAAGAGAAAAACATCAACACTAAAACAGGAAGCTTTTATGGGACCTTTTGGGTGAATCACAACAACTAGGTCTCAGAAAAAGCAATAAAACATCACTGACATGAGTGTGCAAAAATGTGATCCCCCTTACCATGTTATCAATAGCTGCTGCAGCATCCTACAGAAGACAAAGGGCATAAATACGTTACAAGCACAGAAATATTTACAATGAAAGTCCGACTACGCGTCAGTTACCAACCAAGTTTACAGTGAATTCACCAGTCAGATTACCATTAACCTAAACAAGACAGCTTTTCAATAAAACTGCGTCTATGGGATTCTGACAAATGTATTCAACAGATATTCCTGTTTACATGCTAGAGCGCAGCCAGATAAATAACTGTGAATCACCCCTCTTGAACCTCAAACAGTCTTTCTCTTATATTGCTGCTATGGTTTATACTAAGTGCATTTTAATGTTTTATTATTTACTGTGCATAAAATAGATTCAAAAGATTCAAAGTGTGTGGCAGGAAACTCAGTTAAGTTGTGTACATGTTTAAATCAATAACGCAAGTTTAAATCTTACTTTAACTGAATTAAGCTTACTCTGAATATGACCTTATGCAGGTTAAAACAATGAATTTGTAAGGTTAATTTATGAAGATTCTCAAACAGAGTTTTGTCTTTATTAGGTTAATATCAGAATAGTGCAGGCTTCAGTGTGTATCAGCCCTTTAACCAGTACATACCTCTGCCAATTCAAACTCAATGAATGCAAATCCTCTGTGCTTTTCTAAAAATAGAGCATAAGACACATTAATACAGCTTAATATACATTTTTTTCACGGTGTTCAGTGGTACATTTAAACAGTGCATTAACTACTACACATGACAGCCAAACTCCTGATCTTACCTGTTTCATAGTCTAATGGTATCTGGATGTCTGTGATGTCCCCAAAGGGAATAAAAGCTGCATGTAACACCTTCTCGTCCACCTCCTCTGCCAGGCCACCTGACAGAAACACACGGTACTGAGTATGAGCTGATGAACAGTTAGTAAAATCGCCGGGAGTAGCAGAAACATGTCGCTTAAAACTCTTAAAATGTTTGTTTGTTTTCACATTCAGAGGAGCGGATAAAGGAGCATCTTTACGTCCAAGTCACAAGAAGAACGGAGTCCTGATGCTAACCGTTAAACCTTGTTTCATTTGATAAATTCAGAGTTTAGTACACAACTTGACATGATGCGCTTTACTCGTAGCTTTGGTAAAACTGTGCGACGTTTTATACAGTCTTTTATACAGTCTATGTCGAAGTTTAAAATCAGCGAAGTTGCCATGTTTTTAAAGTGACGCTCTCATGTGTTAACTTACCGGCTAAATATTTACGTCTCGCAGTTTCATCGTATTATGTGCACTTTGTACATGTTTAGTTATATTTAATTTCGTTATTTAGAAAGTAACATCCTTAGCACGTTTGCTACATTTACTGAAACAATATACGCGTTTTTATGAAAAGTAGAATTAACTTACCAACATACAGTACTCGTTTGTTAGCCGCCATATTGGAATTAACCCTTCAACTTTGACCCCAGCAGCTCGTCATTGGTGAGACCTGAAGCCCGCCTCGCTATGGCCAAATGTCCTCTATCGCCACCTGTCGGTTGAACGGTTGAATCCGTCTGCAGCTGTCATCACTCAAATACCTTTTTTTTAACCACAGCCCCACTGTAACAGAGTCAGTTTCTACCATTTTCATCTTTCACAACCTCCTTTTCCACAAATATTCCTAAACTGTGAAGGCTACATCACAATTGTTTTTTTTAACCATTTAAGAAATCTAAATTCTTTAGTTTTCAACAGAAGCAAATTTGGTATTTGAATAGAATGTAAGTTAAGTCTGGTCGGTCTACATTTGAGCTAAAACTCTTTACAGGCACAGGTATGAATAATAAAATGACTTATGGCTGAATTCCATTTAGCTATTTCCATGTTAAGAAGTTTTCCACAATTTGACTAGTCAGGAAGGCACAGGTGCTAATAATATAATTGGGCTCTGTTCTATTCAAGTGTCCTACTAAATCATGACAGTGTGACAGTTCATTTACAGTTACTCATTTGGGAGACACTTTTATCCAAAGCAACTTACATTTGAGGAACAACATACAAGCATCAGTAAAGCATCAGTACAGGAAGTGATCTACTAGTGACTACAGATACAAGCAAGAGTACAGTAACAATACCCTGAAACAAAAGCAGCAAAATGGAATTTAGCCATCAGTTATGTTATCATTTACACATGTGCTTTTCCTAATGTGACATGTTAAAATATCTTCTGTGAAGGCTAGTTGAGCATGCTGGCTCACTGCCATGAAGAGAAAAGAGCCACTGTCAATGTTATTAGTGACACCTGTGGTTTTCTTACTATGGCAAGTCAAAATGTCGGCCGCTGCAGAGAATGTGGAGCAAATTTGTTGACCATAACATTTACAGTACAGACCTGAGAGTTAGTAAAAAAAAAACAAAAAAAAAAACTTTATTAATGACTTTTTAGCATTTAGAACTGCAGACATGATAACCACCCAAAGAGATTTTTGACATGTAAGCAAAGTAACACAAGAGTGGTAACCTTGATATATCATCCCTTTATTGAGAATACCACACACCCATGATAACATGATAGGATGGAGGAGTCCATTTCAAATCAAACATAAAACTTTCAAGCAAAGAAAAGAACAAGGCTCAATTTCCTTTTAGAAAAGGGTTTCTCTCCTGTGCCACAAAATGAAAGGCCTTCTTTCGAGATTCATTAGCATTATTAGTTTGGTATGTAGTTTAAAAGTATTGCAGAACTAGAAAATTAGGAACTGTAGCATTTTTCAAAATGTTCAAATATATTTTTAAAATTACATTTTCTTGTTTTTCTTCATTTTTGCATAATTGTTTAGAGGAGTCTAGTGTTTGGAGTCAGCGTAGTGTGTCTCTCCCCATCTCTGCTCATTTGTCTGTGCCCTGAAACAACACAATGACTTTTCATTACCACCACACAACCTAAATTATGTGTGACAAAATCAACAAGTATGAATAGCTTGACTGATTATGTATTATCATACCAATTTAATATGGCACGCGGTCTTCAGGATGTGGCAGCAGCAGTTGTAGTAGCCATGGTGCCCACTTTCTGGGTGGCATCTTTCTTTGCCTGATGGGCTTGTAGCACAGCAACGGCTTCTTCGACCTGTGCAAACATACAATAACATCAAACATGAATTATGAGGTGGTATACAGACATTTTAGTGTGACAATACAGCAAAGATAGAGGTAGTGAAGTACCTTTGAACGCAGAGATTCATGAGACTCCAGCATATGGAGCAGTTCAGAGTTGTCAATCTCCAGCAGCATGCCAGTGATCTTTCCTGCCAGGTTGGCATGCATTGCCTGAATCAGTGGGAAAAGACGCTCACCTTTTTTGGAAAAATGGAGAATAAATCAACCTAATAAACACTGTAAAGCATTACAGTTAATTAATTATGATATGGGATTCTTACCTAGCATCTGTTTCTGCTCCTGAGGGGGCGCAGCAGCCAGCATGGAGGCTGTGAGAGGCTCTTGGCCCTGGACATGCACAGCTGGCTGAGTCTGAAAAGGACAGAAAAAGAACATAGTAAGGAAAATTATTTATTGCTTTGGGGGCTTTGATATGACAGGAACACAAGATGGTGACTGGTCTGTTGCCCATACCTGCTGTAAGGCAATAGGCTGCACCACCTGGGGGTTTGGGTTACGGACACCAGTGGCATATTTGTATGGAGGCATGGCACGGGGGCCAGGGACTCCCATTGAGGGACGAGGACCCATGGCCTGGCCAGGAGCTAGCAGAGAGGAGAAAAATAGAGAAGAATTTACACAGTGTCTTGACAACCCCTACTGTATCTGTAGTGTCAATAAAATGCTAGAGCCAGAGTCAATGTGTTGATGGTGATCACTTTGGTGAACTGTTATTAAACACACCTCGCGGTCCCTGTGTGCTGCTATTAGGACTCATGTGTCTCAGGTTGGCACGGGGTCCTGGCTGACGCAGCGATCCGGGAATCCCTTGGAAACCACCTGGGAGTGACAGAAGCAGAGACAAAAACAGTTGCATACAATACAAAACATTTTTATATATTTCAAACAGGTCCATTACATTATAACTATGTATGTTAGATAAATGAAAGTATATCAAATATAGATGCATCATATAATGCCACATGCTCACCTTGACCTCTGCCACCTTGTTGCTGCCATCTGGGGTTGGGTCGCATTTGGGCCAGCTGATTGGGTGCATAGTATGTGGTCCTATTCTGGGCCTGGTGGGTACAAGTAAGTAAAATGTATCATTTTATGGCATAACCTACTGAAACCACCAATGTGACTACCTTTTTAATCTGTGGCATTGTTACTGAAATAAAGGAAAACAGTAATGATAGTTATCCTAGTGACATCACTTTGAATAGTTGGAACATAGCTTTCTTGACAAGTACATTAAATGATCTTAAACCTGCATTAACAGATCTTTTGGGCCATTTGCAGGTGTAAACACAACACTGATTTATTTCCACCTTTAAAGTTGATGTCCAACAGACACTGAGGAACATAAGCTTTAATTTGGAGTAATGTTTGTGTCCACTCTGCAAATGTAAATCAAATATTCATTGTCCTTTTAGTTCTGGTTTTGGACTCCACCAACTCTTGTAGAAAATATCTGGCTCTTAAGCTGCTAAATATTCAAGTGGCAAACATGAGGTTTCTAGATAACTTTACTAAAAAGATCCGCCTGCCTGAAGAGATCAGTGAAACTGAGCCAAAACCGTAAAGATGCAAGCCTTAAACAAAAATAATGAGCCATCATGCTAAAAAGATTCGTAGAGCTGAGGGGAACTATAGAGTCCAGTGATAATTATTTGGGGGTTTGTCACTACGAGCAGCCCCTTTCACATCACACAGTCATGTGTAGCCACTTTAACACACAGTATCTTCTTTGATTCTCACACCTGTGGCACAGCTGGCATGAAGTAGCCACTAGTGGGCTGGAACTGATTGATGATGGCGTTAGCCGGCATGGCCCTCATGCCAGCAATACGCTGCATATACTGGTTTGTTAGATGGGCTTTGCGCTCTTCTTTGCGCTGAGCGAGAGCCACGTAGAGGGGTTTGGAGCCAACAATACGTCCATTCATCTCAGTCACAGCCTTGGTGGCCTCTTCGGGGGAGGAGAAGCAGACAAAGCCAAAGCCCTTGGAGCGACCCTCCTCTAGCATCACCTTAAATACAGACAGATTGTGTTTGGCTAACTTCAAACACACAATATTGTCACGCTGTTGCTATATTTGTATTGCAGTGGTGCATTGCCTCTTCTCTGGTGATAATGCATTGCAACATTCGTTTGATTGCTCTCACCTTAGCACTTGTAATAGATCCGAATGGAGAGAACTCCTTACGCAGTTTCTCATCGTCTATGGTGTCATCCAGGTTTTTAATGTAAAGATTAACACCCTGAAACCAAAGATACACAGTGGTGATACATACGTAGCAGCTTCTCTGACATGAATGGACTGAAATTTGAGATTGATTAGATTTATAAGATCAATAAGGAGCTTAGTTTCTACGAACCTGATAACGACTGATCCTTTCTTGTTTCAGCAGCTCAAACTTCCTCTTCAGCTCCGCCTGCCGCTCCATCTTCTTCTGAGCTCGGCCCACAAACACTGTCTTGCCATTGAGGTCAGTGCCATTCATGTCTTCTACAGCCTTTGGATGAAAACATCAGAAATCATAATCATCAGAATGAATGACCAATAAAGACTCACTTGGTATAATTCCATGAGGACCAAGTACCTTGTTAGCGTCCTCGTGTTTCTCATAACTAACAAATCCAAAGCCTCTGGATTTGCCAGTGGGGTCTGTCATCACCTTCACGCTGAGTGTTTTACCTGCAGAGGTCCGATTAGTAGATGTAAGCCAGCAGAACTAGACCACATTAGAATTTGGAGGGACACCCATGAATCTAATCCCATTTTACCATATTTGTCGAAAAGCTCCTTCAGCCGGTCATCATCCATATCATCCCCAAAGTTCTTAATGTAGACATTGGTAAACTCTTTGGCTTTGGCACCAAGTTCAGCCTCCCGTTCCTTGCGAGATTTGAAACGACCCACAAACCTGAAGATAGAGGAGGAACAGCGATACACTCTTTTAAAACAGTCCCAACAGAGATGAGAAAACAAACCAGGATCCATCTCTTTTGAGTGTTGGTTTTTCCGATCTATAAAAAAAAAAACACTCGATCCAGTTTTCGGGGTACAGAAAGTTCCACAATGACAGAGGAAGACCTGACCATGCAAGCATGGTAAGTAAAGAGAGTCCAATCTTTTACAAAAACATCCACAAAACATATTCAGCTACATTTCATCACGTGACTCATCATTCCTGGGGTAAACAACAAAAAAAACATCCAACTGCTGTTAATATCACCAGAGGCAGGCAGATATGTCGACATGCTAGACACAGTGACAACCGACTTGATTCTTGGTCCAAAACTTGATGAAGAGGTGGATGGTGAAGGATGGAGGAATAGAGTCTCACAGTACAAAGGAAAGCTGAAGAGGACCAAACGTTCTTATATACCTTGCTATGACGACCTCTCTCTCCTTCCGCCATCCAGTATTGCATTCCTGCATTCGATCCATCACTAAAACACACAAGCGTGGTCATACACACACACACAAACACTCCAAGACGGGTGACCAGCGTGTGAACAAATGAGGCAACAGTAAATGCATCTGGTAGGAAAGATTAGAGTAAGTAAGAGTTTTTAATTTGTTATCTATCAGTATCAGTAGAGGTTATCTTCATACTGGAGGTAGTGAGAGATGAGTTTATTAGTCAAATTAGTCATGCACAAACTGAAGAAAAGACACAAAAAGTCAGTTTCCTCAACACAAGTGACACATCAGGTTTTTACATTATAACAAAATATGACGCAGTTTAACACACATAAGCTACTCCCATTATCACCATAAGCTCAATAAGTACTGCACCTTCTACATCTGGACTATCATTGTCATGATAACTTTCAAAATGCTATCAAGATCATTTTAAAGAGGTGGTATGCTCATTTTCAGGTTAAAAATCGTATTTAGGGGTTGTACCAAGGAGTTGCACATGCGCTAGTTAAAGACTACTAGCCAATCAGAAGCAGAGAAGGGCGGGTCAGTGAGAAGCCAGTAAACATGGTTCAGTTCAGCTGTACGTGTTCCCGTTACCAGCTTAGCAACATGACTGGAGCAAGAGTTTCAGAGTGTGAGTTATTAATCTGTAACAAAAGCATCTTTTACATAATATTACTGTGCTCTGTCTCTACATGACAGTAACAAATTTATGTCCATTGACTGCCTGGGGGTAGCTTGTGTTTGGAATGGAGAAGGGAGGTGTGTGCTGCAGCTCAGTGTTTTTCCACCCGTGTTTTTGAGGGCATGTCGGACTAGCCGCTTGGCGAGCGTTATATCACACATCACATCATGCATTTTGCTTTCATCCTTCTGTCGTCAGAGGATGAAAGGGAAACAGCTGGACTACAAACAAGCTATTTTCAGGCAGTTCAGAGCAGAGTTTTCTGTGGGAGATGGGAATTCCCTTTGGGACTTTGGGCTTTTTCACTTTGCAAACCTATTACATGCACAAAAAAGATATATAACTCAATAAAGGAGAGGGAAAAAGCATAATACCACCTCTTTAAAGTTCAAGCTAAATTCTTTCAAAGTCTTTTCAAAACACTATCAACGACAAGAACCTCTTTGTCCCCAGTTCCTAGATGGTCAGACACTCACACCTTGCGGTCATTCAGAAGCATGCCGTTCATCTTCTCAATGGCACGGTCAGCAGCATCCTGGGTCTCAAAGTGGACAAAAGCGTAGCCTTTGGAGCCATTTTCGTCACACACCACCTGGAGCGGAGGAAGACATTTGGGTTAATGTGCATTCAGCAGAAAGGCATCATGATGCATGCAGGCAGTTCCTTGCTTATTTCACTTTCTTGCTGAGAGGTAGGTGAGAAGATCCACTAGCAAATCTATCCTCTTAATGTGAACCTGCAGCGAGTTAGCCTAGCTTAGCATAAAATAGTATGGAAACACATTAAATAATTTTTGTTTAATCATTACAAAAAACAAAGTGTATAGCAACATTTTGTGGTTTTACAACAAGCACCCCTTTGGGTGGGGTTTTGCACTTTTCACCATTTTCATCATTTCAGGTGTCACTTAAAGAAGATCTATAACGTGTTAATTACTGCGCTTTAGACTTTCTATTATGAGTATTTTGTTACCTTTGGGGAGAGCCAGACTAGCCGTTTCACCTGTTTCCAGTGTTTATGCTAAGCTAAGCTAACCCACAGCTGGCTGTAGTGTCATATTTACCTTCCAGACACAAGCGGTATCATTCTTCTCATCTAACTTCCTCCAAGAAAGCAAATAAATGTATTTTCCAAAATATTCCAGTATTGCTACAATGTGATTGTTTTAGTTAGAACCATGAGGAGAGATGGTTTGAGTTTAGGTGAGAAGATTTTAAGTGCTTTAGAATATTATTAAATGTACTTGAGAACAGTTTGTACATAATCTCCAGCAGGGACAGATTGACAATTGTACCTTGCAGGAGAGGATGTTGCCAAAGGCAGAGAAGGTGTCGTACAGGGCTTTGTTGTCAATAGACTTGTCAAGGTTCTTGATGAACACGTTGCCCACTCCAGACTTCCTGAGGGAGGGGTCTCTTTGGGACCACATGATTCTGATTGGCTTCCCTTTCACCACGTCGAAGTTCATGGTGTCCAAGGCTCGCTCAGCTGGGTGGGCAGAGAGGTGGAGGCAAAGGTCATTGGGTGGTGTTTACATGGAGCCTGGAGTCTGAAACACATCAGTCACTGTATGCTAAATGTCACGCACCATGCATTTCTATTCTACCATCCCCAGTTGTTCTAATGCAGCCATCCCTTTAAACCACATACACAGCATTGCCTAATAACATTCCCAGAGAAATAACATGAAGCTACAATGGAGTGTTAAAACATTTTGTACTCCTGCGCAGTGTAGGCTATAATGGAGAATCCCTGCTGCCAGCCCATTACCAGGGCACATGTAACATGGTGAAGAGACCGCAGTATACCATGTGGATTAGCTGTCTACGAGCAGCTGGGGACAAGTGTGGGGGCAGCTGCAGTGGACAAGCTGGGAGCACATGGGCCCCCATCTCTAAATCACCACATGCTCCTGGGCCATATCCCACCTATTGCAGTAGCAATGCAGCAGGCCCTCAGATAACACATGGCTTAAATTGTGGTGTGAGAACAATGTTTTCATTTGCTCAAATCATTGTGTCTTCTTTGTTTAATCACTAAGGTTTATACAGTTTCCCTTTTCGTCTGCTGCTTTAACTCTCATATAGGCTCTCATGTCCATGTGGGCACACACGCCAAACATCCCTTTTGTTCGGTCACTCCACAGTAACAGACACACACACACAGGCCAGGCTTTCCAGCTAAAAGTGTCTGGTAAACAAAACGGAGCTGCCTTGCGTCTGCTGGCATCAGCAGTTTGGCTTGCAATTGTACTTCACAGCCTGTGCTCAGAGGAGGTGTGTGATCACTGTCAAACATGTGGACTTCTGGAAGGTTCAGAATGGGTATCTTAGTTTAAAAACACCATGCTCTCCTCATCTATGTTAATTATTGCTATAATAAGGGATGTCATTTAGAATGATAGTGGCAAATGTTAACGGTGTTGAATTATTTGTTATTGTTCACCATTTGTTACGTTAAGAACTTAAAGTATTACAGGCAGGCAAATTTCTGGCTGCTCAGAAAGACCTATATTTAGAGAGGGGTCCTGAGAGGTATGTGCTGGCATGGAGTGTGAGTTTAGCATTCTCTACCATTGATGGGGAGGAGACACATTCAAGAAAGCTCAGATGAGCAATACCCTCATGAGTGTTTACACATACAGCTGTGACATGAAGAAATTCAACAGAGATTGTAAACAAGCTCGACCACTGCTTTAGCCTACATGAAATCAAATATACTGAGCAGCTACAATTCTGATCATGTATATTTTCCTTTTTGTAACTAGTATTTTACAGGCAGCAATTTATTGCATGTGCTAGGACTCCATTTAAATACCCAACAGCTACCATCCCCCATGTCTACACCTCCAATAACAAATGGTGTCTTCTCACTTGTGGGTCTTATTACATTTACTCAAGTGAGTGATACTACCACCCTGGAAGTGAGCCAGTTGTAACCTATCATTACTCCAGTTTTTGGTAACAGACTCGAGTGCAGATAAATTGTGACAGGTGTTTAACGTTGATACAAGAGGCAAAAAAAAAAAAAAAGTCCACACAATGTACAGGCCTCCACAAACAACCACAACACCTGCTGCTATTGCTCAATGATTCAATACCATTGGATGGAAAGCGCTTTATAAGACACTTAACACTGCTGATACTTTTGTATTTACATAGACATTCACTTTAGGCATGCGGTTCAAATAGATTATCAATCGACAAGCAGCTTAAGTGGTTAAGATGTTGCAAATAAACCAGCTATATGATTAAACTAATCCCTAACTGGTTTAAAATGAAGCTGGTATTAAATCCAAATAGAAATGGGATCAAGTCTTAGTATTATTGTATGTGCCAGACAACACACATAACAGACATGTCAAGTGGGCAGTTCAGGGGTCACTGTTCAGCTGTGCTTGTCCCTTTTCTTGATTTCTGTGAATAGAGCAGCAGAGGGCAATGAGAATTTAGTTTCACTCACTGGCTCTTTAAATAGGAGCAGAAATGGGTCAATTTTGGGCTGAATAAGTCACATCTGCAAGAGTAGTTTATTCCCAAATGCAGTACTATAATTGATGGACATAAATGACTTGTTAACTTTTAAGCATAGTCAAACACTGTATTTGTGTGAGGGCTTATAGGTAGTGACATACCACCAATAATAGGCTATAAGAACTGGGACATGCTTATATGGGTCAAATGAGTGCACCAACCTGTCTGAAGAGCTGCTATGACTGTCCTTTGATTAGACTGTTTAAACATCACTTAAACCACAATTCAGTTCATCCTTTTGTAATATTCATTGCCAGTGTCTCCCTGATCTTGCATTTCATTGACCAATTAGGACTGACATTGGCAATATTTGAAGGATGCATGCTTTCTGACTCTTAGCAGCGTGCACTGACCGTAAGTTACATCAGTCTGCACAGTGATCGTTTCATATGTTTCACTTCTTACCGTCAGCAGGTTGAGAGAAGTTCACATAAGCATATCCCAAGGATCGCCGGGTGATCATGTCTCGGCATACCCGAATGGAGAGCACCGGTCCGGCTGGGCTGAATTTCTCATACAGCATAGCCTCCGTGATATCGGGGTGCAGGTCGCCAACGTAGAGAGAAGCCATCGGATAACTCCCCGTCGCTGCAGTGTTCATTTCTCGCACTTCACAAAATAAATGAACGCAAAGCCTCCCTCAAAAACGCCAGGGAGAAAAAAAAAAAAAAAAAAAAAAGGCCGGTATGAACTGTATTCCGGGTCCAAACTGCGCTTCAATTCTCACCTAATAAAGACACTGCAGCTGGCTCTCTGGTCCTGCTTGTTGAGAAAGTCAGAAAAACCACGATTTAAATCGATGGCAAGTATTTTCTCTTTAAAAACGACAACTTCGGGTAAAGCCCAAGGCCTCCTTTTTGTAGAATCTTTTTTTGTAGTTATTTTGCTGTTTTTTTAAACGTTTGTATTTCTTTAAATATTACGGTGCTTGTTTTATTAAGATTTTATGGATTTTATATTTTTATATTATTTTATTTTAAGTTTTTCTAGAACAGTGAGTTAGACACTCACGGTTGTTTTGTGGCCGGGGAAAGAGACTGCGTGAAGAAAAGCATGGGCACTTTATAGAGTGAGGCGGTGAGGAAATAGTGGCCAGGGTCAAACCTGGGATAGAAAAAAAAAAAACCCACACTGAGCATGCGGCGTAAAAGGGAGAGCGCACACTGTACCGTCCCAACTACAGAGCCCAGCTCCCCACAGCGACATCTGGGTGTGAATACAAGTAATAGGCCTATATAAAAAAAAAATAAAAACTGGATCAATGATCAAGATGTTTATTCAGTTGCAGTTATGAAATATTCTTATAAAAGAAAAAATTATTCCACTTTATCCATGCGCCTGAGGACAAGAGAAAAATAGTTATATGCACATGCAGGTAACATACTAGCATTCCAGAACAATATTGTAAGCTTAATTTAGGCACCTCAACAAATCCAGGAAAGCTGAGAACAACCCTCTTTGTCTGGGCTCCTGTTGCCTTTTAATTCCATCCATCCCACATCTGACCACACTTTTTCCCCCTTGTTGCTCTTCATAACTCAGTGTCTGTGACCCATCCGAGCTTTTGGAAAACTGGAGTTTTGAGCGAATGATTGGTTGGGCATCAATTGTTTCTTCTTGGGGCCTTGGAGCTGCCTCCTCTGTCATTTGGTTAAACTCATTCTGGTTTTGGACATTTACAGTCATCTCAGTTGGCAGAATGGTGTCAACTTCTTGTAGAGCCTTTGTGCGAGAAATCCCTGATCTTCCAAACCACAGTTTTCTTTGGGATTCCTCTTCAATAGCTACTTTTTCCAGATGAGGAATTACAGATCCAGTCAGTGTAAGCAAGTTCAAAAACATATGAGCGTCACTTAGTTCATTCGCACTTTGATCTCCCATCTTGTTATTCAAATCTGCAGTTGAAGGTTGCAGCTCAGGAAGGTCATTTGATACTGTGTTGCTAGCCTGTAACTGAGCTTTCAAGTAGTCTTCAGACTCACTGTGTTCAGCATCTTGCACCTGTCCAGGTAGCCAAAGGGTGAGTCTGGCAACTGGGTCCTCTCTCGCGACCACTACACCCTCAGGGGGAGGGGAGAGCTTTGATAAAGTACCAGAAACAATTTCTTCTTCAGTCGCTGCACCGTCAGACTGCATTAACTCAAGAGCACTGGAAGTTTGTGGTCCAGATACAGGAGGCTCAGGGCACTTTACATCTTTATCCACAATGACCAAGGGGCCAGTGCTGACGATAGCCTTGGCATCTGAAATGACACGGTTTGTGAGTTAGATAACCACAAAGTCCCATTTATTGTTGCACCTTTTGACAAAAACCACCAAGGACCAACCTTCAGAAAGGTGCTTAACTGACAGGCCTTTACACTTTGAGCTACAGCAGTCACACACCTCTTCAGTTCCACTTAAGTCATCCCATCTGAAACAAGAAAAATATAAAAATCTAGTTAAGTAATGAAAGCAACAAAATAAAGTTCTGTGTGTACATTAAATACCTTGACTGGATCGCATTATAGTTGCAGGATTTAGAGCCAAACGTGACGCTCTGGTCTGAGACGAGGACACTACAGTGGATGTATATCTTCAGAGGAGGAAGGGAGTTCATACAGTTGAACAGCCAAATCACAGCAGTGAAACTAATTCATGAAGAATAACTCACCTCAGAATTAAGACAAGATGTGTTCAGAACAAAATTAACCACATCTGCTCTGTTGGAGGCCACGAATTGTACAACAGCATGAGAACTGAATGGGACTGTGCACCTGGCAGGGAACGACAGGTGATCATCATCATGGACAAACATTACAATCAATTCCTGATTGGCTGCTTACCCTTTATTCAGAATGACTGCATGCCTGGGTCTAGTCCGAGGCTCAGGAGACATAGAAACATAACAGGACTGGATGAAAAGCTGCTCTTTAGGGCTTGTTATGGCAGAAACCTGGAGGTTAACAACCTGGCCTCTTTTGTAGATATTAGACTCTGCAGTGCTGGTCCAGGATGCTGCGGGGGCGGGGACATTTGAACCTACAAATTATACAATCCAGCTGAAGTTTGACACTGTCATTACTCACGATTCATGGTTCGGATGTTAAAGGTCTTGCCATTATCCCGAAGTGCCATTAAGACAGATAAGTTTGGATCATCATCATATGACCTGAAAAGACATGGATTTCCCTTTAGTGTGGTTATTTTTGACCACTTACAAAATGTTTAACAAAATAGATGCACCTCTTTGGGATACAGGAGATGTGCACTGTGGAAGGTATTTGCCACCAGGTAGGGGGAGATTTGAGATTCAAGTAGAGAGAGTTGGTGAACATATCCAGGCCATTCTGCATCTGCAAGAGTGTATGGTCTCAGAAAAGCCTTATAAATGTTGCAGAAATAAAAGTAACTAGCAAAGAATTTGCTCAACTCACCACATGCTCAGTTCCACACTCATCTAAGCTGTAAGTGAAGACAAATTGGTTTGGTAGCTCTCTGTTGCTGTAGCAGCTATCACCCAACTGCATCTCCTCTCCAGTCAGTAGGACCCCGAATGAGCTCTTGTCCACCAGAAGAGTTAGTGTGAATTCATCGCAAAACACCTCTATTTTGGGAACATTCGTGATGGGAGGTAACCCAGCAAGTATGTGAAAGTCAGGGGTCCGAGTTTGCCAAGAGCTGAAGACGGCTTCATTTTCAATAAATCCAAGAAACTCCTGGGAAAACATGGCATTCTGCTCTTTTATTACTGATTGAACAGCAATAAATTGTCCAACAAAAACACAAAGAACAAGCACTATTGTCCCCATTGCAAACCTCAAAGTGAGTGAACATCTCAGATCGCTCTCCTACCCCATTAATAAGGTGCAGCAGGAGGGACAGATGCTGGCAATCACGCTAACGAGGCTGACAAGTAACAATGCAGCCAGTCATGCTTTCCTATGCTGTATTTTATGTCAATATCCTGTGTTAAAAGATGGCCAAGTCAGCGATGAATCTTGTGTCACTTTGTGATATTTTGTGGCATCATGCTGGTATTCTAATCTTTAGAGATTATAAAACATAGATAATAGGACATAACACATAATTATTTAAAAAATTATAAATGTTGTATTCATGTGGGAGCTATGTGACATTAAAATGACTCATAGGACTAGAGAATCAGGATGGCTAACTCTATAGGCATGTAGTACAAAAATTTATAATACTAAATCTGTTTATACATTTGGAAAGCAAATGTTATCAACAACGATTCATCATATGTGATAAGTTCTCCACCAGGCACACAGTACAATGCGTAATCATGTAGACCCCTTTGGATTTGTTGGGTTATGCGCCCCCCCCCCCCCCCCCCGGGGGGGCGGGGCTTCCGCCTAGGTAGGCGGAAGGTGACGCCTTTGTCCGCAGGTGATCAACAGTAGAAAGAGAAGGCAACGAACCACCTCAAGAGGACTGTCAGAAAACTGTCAGAAATGACTTTTATACAAAGTTAACACTAATATGATCTAAGGGAAATAGAATCCAACATGGTAAATTCAGGTGAGTGGACTTTTATGCTTGTTTCACTAAAGTGACAGAGGATATGGGAATGTTGCGTGCCAAGGTTTTTAGGCGTGGTCTGCGCAGTTGTGAACGCTCTTAGAGGAGGAGAGACCGTAGCTAACCTAAATTTCTATCCAACTACTTGAGTTGTTAAGCCTTCCATAGGTGTAGCCTACTAGTGTAGATTTTCACCTCAATAAAAGTGAAACTTTTGGGGTAGGTGTTGCATATCGTAGGATTCCTGATTATGGTCTGTTGATGCGTCAGACATAGATCCATAACAGGCTATGATGGGTCCCACACTGTACATCTCATCATTATTAATTGAACATAAAAAACATTTAACATAAGAAAGTAAGGGTGTCAGACATCAATAAGTAGAATGAAAGCTACGTGCTGTTCCTATGTAACTATCAGAAAATCTTATATCATATTGGAATATAAGATTAATTAAGTTTGATAAGGTATAGCCTATGAATAATACTGTGAATATTATATCAGTGTTTTTGTTAGTCTGTTACATTACAGTAGCAATTTCTGATAATGTGAACTGCAATGGCAGCAAACATTAGACAATATTCTGACACTAAACACGTTGAGTTTTTTCTTAGCACCCAGCTAAAGGCTTGAATGAGAGAGAACAATAGCAGGTATGTGTTTCTACCTGACCCCCCAGGCCAGGTAAATGTGTTGGTGAATGTTTAAACACCCCACACAAAACTTTGTCCTGTTTGGTTTGGTCTGGTTTACATGGCCTTTATGTGTCAGTGCTTGACCTTCTATGCGGAAGACAGAACAGCACGGTGAGATCTGCATAGTCAGACCCCTTCTCCGAATTGTCACCTATAGTCGCAGCATTTTGCAGCATGCAGTGACATCTTCAGCTATCTCTGCAGGGGTCGGGGATAATTGTGGTAACTGCCTTGCTCTCAAGAGTTGTCAAGGCGTGCTAACCACAGGCCCGCTTCCTCTTGGCTTTGCTGGAACCACAAGACTGCGAGTTCTCAAATGTACTGCAGTTCCAGCTCTTTCTACAATATTCTATTCTACATTTAAAAAACCTATGTGCGTACTGTAGTCTCATCTTTTATAATAATAGGCTATATGGGTTCCTGTCAACAACACATAGGTCTATTGATGCACACAGAGCTGGTATTTGCATAGTCCTTTACTGTACACACAATGTAATGAACTAGTTGTTTATCTTATTTCATTTTGGCAGAGGTCATGATGCTCAAAGCTAATAGATGACTGATTACATTACAATGCAACACAATTGGGATTGATTTCTCATTCTTTAGCATAGCACAGTCTTTGTTAGGATTATGAGGTTAAAAAACATCCTAACTTCCTCTAGGAGTATGCTGTGCCAGCCTCAAGGACAACAAAGCCCTGATGAAGATGGGGCTGGGGCTGGTGCTGGTGGGTCATGTCAACTTTCTTCTGGGAGCACTGGTGCACGGCGCCGTGCTCAGGCACATCAATGTGGACTCTCAGGCCCGCACCATGGTGTACGCCATCTCTAATGTCATTGCCATTGTGACAGGCTTGGTGGTAAGTGGTAGGACAAGTTAATAGCAATTTGATATTAAAACTGTGGAAACTCCATATCTGATCATAATGCAGCGTATACGTGTAAATTGTATCATCTATATGTCTTTCTTACTGAACTTCTTGTTCCCCGTAGGGAATTATTTGTGGAATAGCAGCCATTGTCCTGTCCAAAAACAAGAAAAACAGGATCCTGGTAAATACTGCTCATCTCTCTTTGGCACGCCTCCCTCCTCCATGTAGCACTCACATCTGTCATTTGCTGGCTCCTGTCAGAACTTGCCCTTTGATTTTGAGTGAATGCATGTTTGTGGAGCTACAGGAGATGATAACTATTTAAATAGGTAACACACATGCAGATGCAAATGTAGAATTCATCCAAATATTGGATGAACGTGGACTCACTTGTGGTTTCCATGTTCCTACAGCACTTCCCTCGTACATCTGTTTGACATCGAAAAGAATGCTCTTATTTATGAGGAAAAAATGCCTTTGACATATTAGATTAAAGGCTGTGTTTTCACTGACATGTTGTCATGTTGTCCTTGCAGCAGTGGTTCTTGTTGGTCTTCAGCTTCCTGGCAGGTCTCTTGTCAATTGCCTCCACCCTGGGCTTGTTAGTTTCTACGGTGCAAGCCATTATTTTCAAAGGACAGAGCCTGTTAACGCACTGCACATTTTCTGATGACACTTCCGGCTCTTCCAGCGGCCCATACGAATGCCCCTTTGACCCTACCCGTGTGTATGTAAGTTGAAAATAAATATTCAGCAGTTTCGATATTGATTTGGAATTGCTGCACAAAGTGTTTTTTGATCAGTTTTGTGTTTTATTTTTTATCGACCAGGAGACCACCATCATTCTATGGGTGCCTCTCATCTTGGTGTCCCTGGTGGAAATGGTGTTCTCCTTCCGCTGCTTTGCTGTCTGTACTTCATTCCTCTACCTCTGTCCGTGCAGGAAAAGGCCGACCCAAGCAAAGAGGGTAAGCTGCTGTCAGATCAATGACCCTGTCGACAGTGTCGGCATTAGAAAGACCTGCCTGTTCCAGGCAAAGTAAAGGTCAAGTGTATATGATTCCAGGAGAAAATAGCACTTTCCTGCCTGACTTTGACATTGTTTTTCAAACATACTGTACTGTACTGTACTGTTAGGTTACAAATGAATCTCTTTAAAACAGCAAGTAGTGTGCGTTTATTGCGTCATACCAAGTGTAATTTTGATACAAGGCTTATGAGTAGCATAGCAGCATAAAAAGCATTAAATCAAGCCTATGTTTTAACAGTAAACTGACCTGACTTCATTATATCTACAAATAGGGATGTGACATTGAATTTAATACTGACAAATAGAAACCAGCGCTGTAGACCTGCTGAAATGGCAAACTTGAACGGAGCAGTGTGGTAATCTTGAAAGTGAAATCAAAGCAGTAGGCTAAAAAGGCACGCATCACCACAAACAGTGGTCCGGTTTATTTACCACCAGGTCGTCACAAATGCATATAAAAATTCAAATGTATTAATTATGTATTACCAACAACATTAAAATATAAAGTTTACTTTACTTTTCAGTGTGAGAAACCCATTAACAGGCAGCTTTATGGTCACATGACACATATGTTGTATAAAATATGCAAACTGAACTTCAAACAGTATTATAAACACTTTGTATGTGTTGTCTGTCTATGGCACAAGTTTCAGTTGCAGCCAAGCACTGAAACAAAAGGTTGTTTTTAGAACGGGTAGGCTATATTTTTGAAGTAATTTTCATACTTTTCACAAATGTCATAAGGTTCCCCACACTGCTACTATAGGCTATATATTGTTTATTAGACTGTTTTCTACTTGCAGCCATGGACAGTTATCTGGTTTTTACTATTTTTCTCATTACTTTTGCTAATACTTTTTAATATATTTGAATAATACACTCACTGGCAATTATTACCATGTAAACCACACCAGGTGCCACTACAAACAGGAAACTGAGGCTACAATTGGCACAGGCTCACCAAAACTGTTCAACAGAAGATTGTCAAAAACCAACGCCTAGTCTGATGTGTCTCGATTTTAGCTGCACGATCAGATGGTAGCGTCAGATTTGGTGTTACCAACATAAAAGCATGGATCCATCCTGTCTTATATCAAGTTATAAATTGCACTTGAACAGGTGTACCCAACTGTATGAGCTTAACTTATAAATGAGTTAGCTTGTCTTTAATTTAAATTCCAATTCATGTAATGTTTCAGGCACATGTCCAGTGGGCTGTTGAAACTACATCACTTCCAGCACAAGCTCAAGACTCCGAAGCTGCTGCTGAGCCAGATGCTGAGCAGGATGAACTGCTGGAGCAAAGTCAATGGCTATGAAACAGCTAAACCTAATGGGATAGGTTGGGAACTACTGGGGTTAACTGGATAAAATGCAAGGCCATCTGAAGTAGTTGCATTGAGTGTCTGTTACACATTAAATGTCTGAAGACATTTGTGAGACTTAAGCCAGCAAAGCACTGCCGTTTTATTTCTCTCTGTATTCAAAAGGAAAGAAGGTTGGTTTGAAAACATCCAATTTGGTTTGTGTATTTGTGATATTACAGAGAGCTTGCACCTGTATCTTATTAAAATGATTTTCTTTTTAAAATGTAATTGTCAATTTTACCACAGCAGACAAAGCATTTAATCTTATTTTGAAAAGATTTACAGAACAAAGCTATGTAACTTTTTAGGGCAGTTTTTATTGGTGTTAAAAGTGTGGTCAGATTTAAATTACACTTCTACTTGTATTTCAGAATACAAATATATACAAAAAAACGGATTCTGGACACTGACTGGACATTCGTGTCCAAATTTCACCTGCATTCACTTGTCAGGACTCAAACTTTTGCAATATTGAGAGCCAAGAGTCCCAGAAATTTGCCAAAAAGATGTCAGTGTGTCAGTAAAGGACAGGTACTAAATTACATTCTAAAATGTAAGACTGAAATTTACTTACGCTGTGACATGTAAAGGTTATTCAGGTATCTGCAACCTCTAACCACCAATGACAGCCAATGACACAAATGTAATACAGAAAATAATCTATTGAATAAACATGCTTCAACTACACGGGACAAAACAATAGCCAAAATATCTATGATTTAAATAAATGAAATCCATCAGATATATAAAAGCATTCATGTAATACCATTTTTACAGAGTTGCTTTGCAAGGAAAAAGCAAACATCATAGCATAAAAAGATTATGGATAAAATAAAAATGAGGAAGCATACAAAAACAATACTCAAAAACACCGACTGACTTCGGTCAATAAACAAAGGTTGAAAAGGTGTCCTAGAAAATCAAGTGTAGATTCCTGTCGCATTTTGAAGGAGTGGGGTCTCATTACAAAGGCATAAGTCCTTCATGGATTTCCTCAGCAGCAGCCTGGAAAGATGATTTATCAAAAAAAATCTTTAAAACATCCATCCTGGTCAGTTGCAGTGGAGGACCTCAAGGTGTCTTGGACTCCTCTTTTGGCCTGAAGCACCCAGAGTAAAGAAATGATTAACACTTTGAATAAGCCACTTTCTGGATAATGTGGTAATTAAGTTTATTAATTGAGTTTTCTCACTTTGATGTGTCCATTTTCTCCTCCTCTGTTACCTTCTCTTCTTCTTTTACTTCTATAAAAGAAAACGAACTGATTCACAGCTATCAAAACAGTCTTCATTGTATATAGTCAGCGGACTTAAAATGTTAACACATAGGAGGTACCACTAGTAAGATCTCTTTGTAACAAAATGAGTAGGGTGAGATGAAAATTAAAAAAACATTCACAAGATACCTTTTGTTTCCTCCTCACCTTTCTTCTCCTTTTCTTCTCCCTCTTTCTCTCCCTCGGTTTTGGCTCTCTTGACTTTCTTGAAGCTGGCTGCGTTTCTGCGGCCTCCTTCGCCTTCATCCTCTGAGTCAGAGAACTCCTCCTCACACGCTATCCTCTTGTCATGGGCACGGACTGAACATTAACGAAGGACGGGGTTAAATTCAAACATCAGAACTCTTTTGTTTCGGAGGGGTTAACTGCCAGATAATAGAGATCTGGTGTGTGGATGTAAAAGAAAATCGTGACTATGTGAGAGGTTCTTACTGGAGATGCGTTTGTTGGGGTCATCCTCCTCCTCATCTCCACTGTCCTCCTGCACAGCGTCCTCAGGGATGGCCTGCATCTGAACTCCCGGGGCGTGGGGCAACATACGCAAGTTCTCAAACAAGCGCTGCCTAGAGGACAGAATGCAGGTTGAACATAATGACCACCAACAAAGATGAAATCCACCTGAGACGCAGACCAGCACCTAACTGGCAGTTTCATGAACTCACTTGATCTTCTCCAGGTAGTCGTTGGTGTTCTGATTGGTCATGTTAGAGGGGCTTATGTGCAGCTTGAAGTCTGGTCCAAAGTACTCAAAGTAGTCGTTGTATGGAAGCTCTGTCGAGTTCAGTGAAAATGTACACAATTTACCTTTTATGCCATTAGTTAAAGAATATGAAGTCATATTGTTTATAAGAGGCTGCTACAAATGTCTATTTTCTCTCTTTTCACCTGCTAATGTTACGAACTGCAAACAATAGATGCAAAATGTTGTGCCTACTACGAGAACACTTGTGGGCTACCTAAGCAGTTTACTAAAAAGCCTGCAATTACTTTTTTGTTATCTAAAGTGTAAAAATAAGGGATTTAAGATATTCACATTTGACTAAGTGTATCTAGGAATTGTATTGTTAAATTACTTGAATAAAGGACCTGGCGATTGAATTATCATGTTTCACTGATCATCACATCAATCTTTAATTATCGGTGAAACATTGTAAAACTTTATACACTTTTTGTGCCTCAAATAATAGACGCAATGAGCCTATATGTGATGGATTACATGTGTTGGCCTTATTCAACATTCAAATGATATTTCTTTGTCTGTGCTGACGTTGGGTTGGATACTGTGACATTTTATAAGTGTTTTATTATCTAGCGAAACAAGCTTAAAAATTCACTTTTTGCACATCTCTTACATTTGTTGCTTTACAAATTGTTACGTGTTATATGGGTTGGTTTATCAATCGATGCACTGTCCATCTTTTACATAAAATTGTTGCTTTATGAGATCAAATTTATATAGGGATGTGTCATGTGTTGGACAGAGCTGTGATTAAAGGTTTGGGTGGGCAGCAAAAGATTTTCAGATTTCAAACTGGGAAGGCATTCTTAAACTTGGGAATGGCTGGTGTAAAGCATAAATACTCACCATTGGGGATGGAGGTATCGAGGGCTACAGCAGTCTCATACGTCCAGCAGCGTGCCACGTTACGTATGGTGTAGCCTCCTCCGCCCAGCATCAGCAGTGGCAAGTTGAAACTCTTCATGTACTCCACACACTTGGCATGTCCTGAGCACGTGAAAAAAAACAAACACACACATTTATCAAACTGGGAGAAAATGATATGATTTCTCAGTTAAAACTTATTCTAAACAGTTGTTTCGTTAACTTACCTTTAATGGTAAGGTTAAAGCAACCAAGTCTGTCTCCTGACAGAGAATCAGCTCCACACTGCAGAACCACGGCACTGGGTTGGTACATCTCCATCACCTTGGCCATGATCTACACAAAGAGAAATTTTACACTTTCTCAAATGCTTCTGTCCATCAAGGCACAACTCAATGACCAAAATAATCACAGTCAGCAAGTCCTTATTAACTCACAGGTTTGAATATGGCTTCATATGACTCGTCGTCAATCCCATCCCTCAGTGGGTAATTCACAGCATAGTATTTACCCTTCCCAGCACCAATGTCCTGCAGAGAACAAGGCAAATGTCAACTCACTGTATGAATTTGGCAATTTGACTTTTATCTTTTCAATACCGTCAAGGCTTACCCTCAGGTCGCCCGTGCCAGGGAAGTACTCTCCATACTTGTGAAAGGAAACTGTCATAACGCGGTCTGTGGTGTAGAAAGCCTCCTCAACACCGTCCCCATGATGGATGTCAATATCTATGTACAGAACTCTCTGGTGATATCTGGAGAGATAGGGAAGATCACTTTATAGTCTTCTAATCTTTGATCCACTCAGGCAAAACGAATGTGTACTTGAGGGGCTACAATTGGACTTTTGTGCTCACTTCAGTAACTCCAGAATAGCCAGTACGATGTCGTTGACGTAGCAAAACCCAGAGGCCTCAGACTTCTTGGCGTGATGCAAGCCGCCAGCCCAGTTGATAGCAATGTCTGTCTGCTGTTTGTTCAACTTTACTGCACCGGCTGGGGCACAGTGAGGAGGTCAGAATTAACAACTACACAGATTACTGGGGCCACGACGGCATGATTACTGTCCAACACAGCATGTCTGTCTGAGCAGCATATAAAGAGAAGCGACTTACCAACAGAGCCACCTCCTGAGAGCTGACAGAACTCAAATAAACCATCAAACACCGGACAGTCCTCTCCCACATTAACTGCAAAACAAGGGCAGAGAAATAATCAAAATATTGCTATCGTTCATGTCTAGACTGTTCTAGACTGATAACACTTTATCTACACAGACCACCTCTGACCAAACTTACATCTCTGCATTTGTTTGCTGTACTCTGACATGTTGTCTGGTCGAATTGAACGTAGGAATTTAATGTAATCATCACTGTGATACTTGGTCATCTCCTCCCCGCTGGCTTTGTGTGGACGCTGAAACACAGAGGGCAAAATGAGTTCCCCAGACACACAGGAGAAGCTAGGAGGGTTCAGTAATTGCACGAAGAAGCACAGATACTGTAAATTGACATACATATATCTCCATCTTTCTGTAGAGGCCATAGTTGAGCAACAAATTGTGAGTCATGCGGATTCGGTGGGGCTTCATGGGGTGCCCCTGACCATAGTAGTAATTTCCAACATCACCTAAAATGTAAACAAATAAAACACAACATATAGGATTTCTTTTTAACATAATCAATGTAAAGAGGAAGTAAACAGCAAACAATACGACATAAGTTCCTGTGCAGAACAGGTTCGTGCATGCAATTGAACGATACCATCGCGCATGTATCACTCTCCTGCAAACGGACCCCTCAAAAATATAAGTCAAATCGCCTCGATGAAACTATAACGTTACAAACTATCCAGCTACAGTTAGAGTGGCGTTTTGTTACACATGGCGATTAATGTCGACCAAACCATTAGTTTACGCCGAACTACCTGGCATTTGAAGGCAGCAAGATTGGCCATTTTAATGCTAGCTTAGTGTTGGCGTTAATTGAGGCGACAATGAAGTAACGTTACTCGTATCCCCTTTGTTAGCTCTCCAGCTAGTAACGACATCCAATCTAGTTAAAGTACCAACACCTTGTAGATAAATCCCTAACGTAGTATTTCACTGGAAACCCGGGCGTCTAGGGAAACTGAGAAAACACCATTGGGGCATTAATACTCCGCTGTGTTAGGCGGAGAT